GGTCATTTTAAAATATAATACTTATGAGATCGGCAAAAATTTGCCAGGAAAACTGTAATTTCCGACTGTCCCTGAAGGCAGCCCGATGCCCGACGCTGTTCATTGGTTAAACTGACATGTAGTTCCTGCTTGATCCAAAACACATCAACGGCTTTAGAGTTACACCGTCAGGAGTTCTGCAGGTATTTACAACATTTTACCGCTCAGCAGTAACCGCTGTTACCTTCCTAATGAGAGGCGGCTCTTGTCATACATTTCTAAAAAGAAAAGAAATGGTTGTGCACCGCTGCATAGTGCCTCGTTTATTATATTAGCCATGCTAGTGCTGATAGATCGTGTTTTAGACAGATTCTTTTAACATGTTTTAGTGACATGCTGCCCTCTAATGTTTTATTTCTCCCAGCTCTTGCTTGAAATGTGTGGTAAGAATATGTGAAAAACCATTAAGTTTTATAATGACTGAAATGTAAGTAGGCTATGTCATATGAAAGCTTTGAATTATAACCTAACTAGTTATATTAATTAATTTTAATTAATGTATTTTTAATTTAGTATTTTAGCTAGCTACAGAAAACTAAAAACTATAGTTTAAATAATAGTTAAAATAATGTTGTCTCTGCCAAACAGTCATGGAGTCTAAATACCAGGCTCTTATTTTGTGTAGAGCCCAAATGAAGAGAAAAGGGAAGATCTCCCAGTTCTTCTTAAAGAGGCAAAACCAGGACCAGACAGAATCCTGCAGCAGTGACCAGGACCAGACAGAACCCTGCAGCAGTGACCAGGACCAGACAGAACCCTGCAGCAGTGACCAGGACCAGACAGAACCCTGCAGCAGTGACCAGGACCAGACAGAACCCTGCAGCAGTGACCAGGACCAGACAGAACCCTGCAGCAGAGACCAGGACCAGACAGAACCCTGCAGCAGTGACCAGGACCATACAGAACCCTGCAGCAGTGACCAGGACCATACAGAACCCTGCAGCAGTGACCAGGACCAGACAGAACCCTGCAGCAGTGACCAGGACCAGACAGAACCCTGCAGCAGTGACCAGGACCAAACAGAACCCTGCAGCAGTGACCAACCTGGAGAATCCAGCCAGGAGACTCCAGGCCCAAGTGTATCACCAGCGGGTTAGAGGCTGTGACAGAGAGTTATTAAGTATTAAAATCCAATAAGCCTAATTCTAAAGGTTAGCATGATGCTTTTTGCATTTTTTATTGTGTCTGTTTATGCATTTCCAATGAAGTTCCAGAGAGAGATGAGGGTGATACAGATTCAGACTCTGGGGAGGAAGACAGTGAAGCAGAAGGAAATGGCACTGAACTGCCCCCACCCAGCACAACCTATTGCACACCAGAAGCACCAGTTTATTTATTTATTTATTTTTGAGAATTTGTTTTTGGTGATATTCTGGGCTCTGAGTTTACATTTACATGTTCACTGGTCCATAGAGCCGTTTAACGTCTTGTTTGGTCATGGCAAATCTTTGTTAAATAAACCATTTAAATTTGAGTGTGTGAGAAAATATTTGTTTCCTTTTGTTCATCATTTGTATATTTACCCTCTGATGAAGCCTTGCTCACCCTTTGGCCACCCCTTGAAAAAAAGTCTAGCTCCGCCACTGCTTGTGACTCTCTACAGGCCATTGACTACAATTTACAGTTAGGGCCAGAAATATTTGGCCCTAACAGGTTTTGTTATTTTAGCTGTTGACAAAAATATGTTCAGAAATACAATTTATATATAATATGGGCTGAAAGTGCACACTCCCAGCTGCAATATGAGAGTTTCCACATCCAAATCGGAGAAAGGGTTTAGGAATCATAGCTCTGTAATGCAGAGCCTCCTCTTTTTCAAGGGACCAAAAGTAATTGGACAATGGACTCTAAAGGCTGCAAGTAACTCAAAAGGCCTTTCCCTCGTTAACCTGTAATCAAGTAAGTAGTTAAAAGGTCTGGGGTTGTTTCCAGGTGTGTGGTTTTGCATTTGGAAGCTGTTGCTGTGACCAGACAACATGCGGTCAAAGGAGCTCTCAATTGAGGTGAAGCAGAACATCCTGAGGCTGAAAAAAAGGAAAAAATCCATCAGAGAGATAGCAGACATGCTTGGAGTAGCAAAATCAACAGTCTGGTACATTCTGAGGAAAAAGGAATTGACTGGTGAGCTTGGGAACTCAAAAAGGCCTGGGCGTCCACAGAAGACAACGGTGGTGGATGATCGCCGCATACTTTCTTTGGTGAAGAAGAACCCGTTCACAACATCAACTGAGGTCCAGAACACTCTCAGGGAAGTAGGTGTATCTGTCTCTAAGTCAACAGTAAAGAGAAGACTCCATGAAAGCAAATACAAAGGGTTCACATGTAGATGCAAACCATTCATCAATTCCAAAAATAGACAGGCCAGAGTTAAATTTGCCCAAAATCACCTCAAGAAGCCAGCCCAGTTCTGGAAAAGTATTCTATGGACAGATGAGACAAAGATCAACCTGTACCAGAATGATGGGAAGAAAAAAGTTTGGAGAAGAAAGGGAACGGCACATGATCCAAGGCACACCACATCCTCTGTAAAACATGGTGGAGGCAACGTGATGGCATGGGCATGCATGGCTTTCAATGGCACTGGGTCACTTGTGTTTATTGATGACATAACAGCAGACAAGAGTAGCCGGATGAATTCTGAAGTGTACCGGGATATACTGTCAGCCCAGATTCAGCCAAATGCTGCAAAGTTGATCGGACGGCGCTTCACAGTACAGATGGATAATGACCCCAAGCATACAGCCAAAGCTACCCAGGAGTTCATGAGAGCAAAAAGGTGGAATATTCTGCAATGGCCAAGTCAATCACCAGATCTTAACCCAATTGAGCATGCATTTCACTTGCTCAAATCCAGACTTCAGACGGAAAGACCCACTAACAAGCAAGACCTGAAGGCTGCGGCTGTAAAGGCCTGGCAAAGCATTAAGAAGGAGGAAACCCAGCGTTTGGTGATGTCCATGGGTTCCAGACTTAAGGCAGTGATTGCCTCCAAAGGATTTGCAACAAAATATTGAGAAAAAACTTTTTTGTTTGGGTTATGTTTATATGTCCAATTACTTTTGAGCTCCTAAAATGTGGATTGTTTGTAAACAAATGTGTACAATTCCTACATTTTCTATCATATTTTTGTTCAACCCTTTAAATTAAACGTTACAATCTGCACTTGAATTCTGTTGTAGAGGTTTCATTTCAAATCCAATGCGGTGGCATGCAGAGCGCAACTCACAAATATTGTGTTACTGTCCAAATATTTCTGGCCCTAACTGTAGCTAAGCTTAGCATTGATGCTAATTTTAGCACCAGAACGCTGGGTCCACACAGGGGCCCAGCGTGGACCGCCAGACCGCCAAAAGTGCGCACTTTGGCAGGCCCCGGTTAAATTCCTTCAGGAATTTTCTGGTTGACCTTTGTTGACCTTTTTTGATCTTTGCTGTGGTTCATCACAGAGGTTCTGAATGATCAATAAACTACAAACTTAAATGACCTTATTCATTTTCCATAAACACCACAACAAACATCAAATAGGACAAATATATTGATTAAGTTTTAACAAATGGTTTCTGCCACGATGATTATGTGAAATGAAATGAATTATATCCCAGATTCAGAAGATTTTCCTTTACTTTAACAGAGCTCTTTGGTTCCTCCTATCAGTCTGCAGTTTCTCATATTGAGGTCAAAGTTCAGATCCACCAGAACTGACTGACAGCTGCTGACCTCAGGTTTGCAACCAGCTTTTGATTGAGAAACCAGTAACCTACTGAAACCAGTAACCTGCTGGAACCAGTAACCTGCTGGAACCAGTAACCTACTGAAACCAGTAACCTGTTGAAACCAGTAACCTGTTGAAACCAGTAACCTGTTGAAACCAGTAACCTGCTGAAACCAGTAACCTGCTGAAACCAGTAACCTACTGAAACCAGTAACCTGTTGAAACCAGTAACCTGCTGAAACCAGTAACCTACTGAAACCAGTAACCTACTGAAACCAGTAACCTGTTGAAACCAGTAACCTACTCCCAGTGCCAGAATCTCACTGAGGAAGAAACTGCATCAGGTTTTCTATCAGGTTATAATTTCTGATAGAACTGATGGATATTTGCATAGAAACGAGTCAGTAGGGTTTCATTTGCGGTTTCGATGTCATGAGGCGGATCTCAGCAGCTGCTGGGAGGAAAACTGGATGTTGGTGTCGGACGGTTTGAAACACCTGCAGGTTTTTGTCTGCTAGTTTCTCTCGGGTTTTGAAAATCGGCTGACAGATTAGAATGAGGAAATGAGGAGGGGTCAATGGAGGTCACCAGAGTTGAGGTTTTTTCCATCCCGTGTCATCGATAGAAAGAGAAACATAAAGCTGATAAATTAAAACGAGGTCAATAACTTTAATTTATCTCCGATTTATTGATTTATTGTTGATGGACAGACCTATTCCTCTGGTTTCTCCAGTGCCTTCTCCTCTCTGATCTGTGAAACCCAAGCTGGCCAGCTGAAACTTGCTTCATGTTCTGAGCTGTGATTGGACAGCCTGGGCCAGGGGGCGGGGCTAGAGCGAAGTGACTTTCTGTTGAGTGAATAAGGGAAACTGGGCCAGCCCTCACATGTTACTGGCTGCTGTCTTTACTAGGACCGTCAGAGCAGAACCAGGTAGAAATAAAGCCACCAGAACCAGGTCCGGTCTGCCTGAGCTGGGCTGCTAACCGGTTCTGACACGAGTCCTTCAGAGCTGTTGCAGAACGTGTGGATCAGAGGGAGCAGCTGGACTCAGAGTGGTCCTCCACGAGACATACACAGTCACATCATCATCAGAGTGGGCGGTCCTGGTCCCGGGCGGGTTGGCTGGATCGGACCAGACTGCTGCCAGTTTTCACACAGAATCAGCTGCTTCCCTGTCGAGTTCTGGTGGTTTCCGGGACCGGTTCTGGTCCGGTAGCTCTCAGGCCAGGAGGCGTCTGCAGCAGAACCATGAAGCGTCTCATTGGGACTCTGCTGTTGGTGTCCGTCCTGCCGTCCCTCTGCAGCGTCTCTCTGCCTCCGGACACCGGAAGTGGCATGTCCTACCGTAAGTCTGCTGCTGTCCTCTGCACTGCTGGACACTGCAAACCGTCTCCACAATTATTTTTGCAGTGAAGGGAAGCTGAAGTGAAACATCTGAACTCATTTCTGAGTGTGAAAAGCTGATAGCAGGAAGCTGCCACGGCTTTGAGGCTTCAGCCAGAAACTGTGAGGTTTGATTATGATTTCTGTAAACAAGAAATGTTTACAGTATCTGACACCCCGACTTTCAAACGCTTCAACAATTTTACTAGCAAATTATGACAGCAGCAAATTATGACAGAGCAGCAAATTATGACAGCAGCAAATTATGACAGAGCAGCAAATTATGACAGCAGCAAATTTTGACAGAATAGCAAATTATGACAGAGCAGCAAATTATGACAGCAGCAAATTTTGACAGAGCAGCAAATTATGACAGCAGCAAATTTTGACAGAATAGCAAATTATGACAGAGCAGCATCTGCTGAGACAGAACATTGTCGATAAAACCAGTTAAAGCTGAGAGCAAAAACCTGTCAGTTTCAACTGGTGTCTCTTCTGGTCTCTGCAGGTCTACGAGCCTTCCGGGTGACGACCAGGTGTAACCTGACCACCCTAAAGGAGAAGCAGGTGGAGCAGATTCAGGCTTCTACCACCAACCTGGTGCTGCCTATCATCTACCTGTCGACCTTCTGCCTCGGTCTGCCCACCAACCTGTTGGCTCTATGGATTCTCGTGTTCTGGACCAAACGTCGGCCGTCGACTACCCTGCTCATCAACTTGTGTGGGTGGTGATGCCAGCCGCCATGTTGCCTTTGCTGCTGTCCCGGCAGACTTACCCTCTGGACAAACCCAACATCACCACCTGCCATGACGCGCTGCCCGAGAGCGTACAGGAGAACTACTTCCTGCCGTACTTTGCCACACTGTTCACCACCTGTTTCCTGCTGCCCTTCATCATCATGATGTTCTGCCACAGCGCCATACTGCGCACCCTACTGGCTGAAGGCAGGAAGTACGCTCACGCCATCTGGGTGACGGTTCTGATGATGGTGGTGTTCATGGTGTCCCTGCTGCCCTGTAAAGTCCTCCTGATCCTGACCTACAGCGACAGCTGGCCGGACGGTGAGAAGCTGTACGTCTACTACATGATGAGCCTGGCCAACAGCACCTTCAACAGCTGCTTCCACCCCTACATCCTCTACTTTGTCTCTCCAGATTTCAGAGAAAGGACCAGGAACGCTCTGTGCTGCCTCCATGACATGGAGGACAAACCGTCCTCCTCGCCAGCGGGACAGAGGTCAAAGGTCACTCTGCTGGCCATGGCAAGTGTAGAGGGGACGCCTGACCCAGCAGCCAGAGGTCAACATGATGACAACGCCGTCAGCTGATGCTGGTTAATGTCAGCAGCAGCTGGACGCGCTGGGCCTCCACATTCTCCTTCAAGTAAATGAAATAGTTATTATATTTTTATTATTGAACCGTCTTTACTATAAACAAAACTGGAGAAGAAAATGTTCTCTGTGTGAAAACATTTTGTACGTAGCAGTGGAAGCTACATGCTTGGCTTTGACCAGAAGCTCCCAGTGACTCAATAAAAATGTTCATATTATGGGAAAAACAACATGAAGATGGAACTAGATTCATATTGTAACCTTGAGTTTATTTTGTATTATTATTTACTTTTATCACATAATAGTACATTACGCTGTACTTTCACAGTATTATTGTATTTCTGTCGTCCTTTCTCTGTAATTATATATATTCATTGTCTTCATGTTTATCTGAGGTGAATATTTTTCTGTCCTTCATTTTCTACACATCAGTAAGTTATTGTAAAAGATCTGCAAATATAAGATGTGACATGGTGGACATGTGTTTATGTTACTGGAAATGAAAGGTCCTGCCTGATCCGCTGCGTGTGGCCCGGTGCATCATGGGACGCTGCTGTGGTTGAGTCGGGTTCAGGACTGGACGCTGCGGGTGGCGTGTCTCGCTCTTAAACTGAAATAACAGCAGAATCCAACAGAACAGTTTCCTCTCAGAACCGGACCGGTTCTGAGAGGAAACAGAACCAGCAGGAACCAGGAACCTGTTCTCTTAACAGAACCAGCAGGAACCAGGAACCTGTTCTCTGAACAGAACCAGTAGGAACCAGGAACCTGTTCTCTAAACAGAACCAGTAGGAACCAGGAACCTGTTCTCTAAACAGAACCAGCAGGAACCAGGAACCTGTTCTCTAAACAGAACCAGCAGGAACCAGGAACCTGTTCTCTGAACAGAACCAGCAGGAACCAGGAACCTGTTCTCTGAACAGAACCAGCAGGAACCAGGAACCTGTCTCTTACCAGCAGGAACCAGGAACCTGTTCTCTAAACAGAACCAGTAGGAACCAGGAACCTGTTCTCTAAACAGAACCAGTAGGAACCAGGAACCTGTTCTCTAAACAGAACCAGCAGGAACCAGGAACCTGTTCTCTAAACAGAACCAGCAGGAACCAGGAACCTGTTCTCTGAACAGAACCAGCAGGAACCAGGAACCTGTTCTCTGAACAGAACCAGCAGGAACCAGGAACCTGTTCTCTTAACAGAACCAGCAGGAACCAGGAACCTGTTCTCTGAACAGAACCAGCAGGAACCAGGAACCTGTTCTCTGAACAGAACCAGCAGGAACCAGGAACCTGTTCTCTAAACAGAACCAGCAGGAACCAGGAACCTGTTCTCTAAACAGAACCAGTTGGAACCAGGAACCTGTTCTCTGAACAGAACCAGCAGGAACCAGGAACCTGTTCTCTGAACAGAACCAGCAGGAACCAGGAACCTGTTCTCTTAACAGAACCAGCAGGAACCAGGAACCTGTTCTCTGAACAGAACCAGCAGGAACCAGGAACCTGTTCTCTGAACAGAACCAGCAGGAACCAGGAACCTGTTCTCTAAACAGAACCAGCAGGAACCAGGAACCTGTTCTCTAAACAGAACCAGTTGGAACCAGGAACCTGTTCTCTTAACAGAACCAGCAGGAACCAGGAACCTGTTCTCTTAACAGAACCAGTTGGAACCAGGAACCTGTTCTCTAAACAGAACCAGTTGGAACCAGGAACCTGTTCTCTGAACAGAACCAGCAGGAACCAGGAACCTGTTCTCTGAACAGAACCAGCAGGAACCAGGAACCTGTTCTCTTAACAGAACCAGCAGGAACCAGGAACCTGTTCTCTGAACAGAACCAGCAGGAACCAGGAACCTGTTCTCTGAACAGAACCAGCAGGAACCAGGAACCTGTTCTCTAAACAGAACCAGCAGGAACCAGGAACCTGTTCTCTGAACAGAACCAGCAGGAACCAGGAACCTGTTCTCTGAACAGAACCAGCAGGAACCAGGAACCTGTCTCTTAACAGAACCAGCAGGAACCAGGAACCTGTTCTCTGAACAGAACCAGCAGGAACCAGGAACCTGTTCTCTGAACAGAACCAGCAGGAACCAGGAACCTGTTCTCTTAACAGAACCAGCAGGAACCAGGAACCTGTTCTCTAAACAGAACCAGCAGGAACCAGGAACCTGTTCTCTGAACAGAACCAGCAGGAACCAGGAACCTGTTCTCTAAACAGAACCAGCAGGAACCAGGAACCTGTTCTCTAAACAGAACCAGTTGGAACCAGGAACCTGTTCTCTGAACAGAACCAGCAGGAACCAGGAACCTGTTCTCTGAACAGAACCAGCAGGAACCAGGAACCTGTTCTCTTAACAGAACCAGCAGGAACCAGGAACCTGTTCTCTGAACAGAACCAGCAGGAACCAGGAACCTGTTCTCTGAACAGAACCAGCAGGAACCAGGAACCTGTTCTCTAAACAGAACCAGCAGGAACCAGGAACCTGTTCTCTAAACAGAACCAGTTGGAACCAGGAACCTGTTCTCTTAACAGAACCAGCAGGAACCAGGAACCTGTTCTCTTAACAGAACCAGTTGGAACCAGGAACCTGTTCTCTAAACAGAACCAGTTGGAACCAGGAACCTGTTCTCTGAACAGAACCAGCAGGAACCAGGAACCTGTTCTCTGAACAGAACCAGCAGGAACAGCTTATAACATGTAATCTAACACGTTACCGTTTACAGTCCAGTAATCAGATTACAGTTATGAAGTTACTGTGTGTTAATATTTATAATTGTTAGTAAACATATTGTTGCTTTCTTCTTCTTGCTTGGAGAGTTGAGACACAAACGATGGAGGGAAAACAAAGATGCACATTTTCTACCTTTTCATTGAATAATCAAATTACTTTCCAAGGTAACTTTGCCGTCCCTGTAATATATAACTAGAATATATTAGATGTGTGTTTCTGTCTTATGATCGCAAGGTGATGATTCTCTTGAACAAAATGGCTCCCGTCTTTAATCAGCATCATTCCAGGATGAACACCAAACTTCATCTTTTGCCAGATAAATATTCTGGTAGCTTCTGCCAGATTTTGATAGATTTTATTGATCGAAATACATTTGATTATTGGTCAAAAGTGCATTGTTATCAGTTGACAGGAAGTTGAGCTGATTCTGCCTCTCGTAAAGTAAAAAACAGAATAAATGGGACTCAGTTCAGCAGTTTGACCAACAAAAATAAAGTCTAAAAGTAAGTTTTGTTCTTGAACAACCGTCTCCATCAGGGCAACATTTCAGAAAGTGAACTAAAAATAATCTGTTTCATCATATAGAAGTTTTACAACTGATTTTCAGATTTATACATTATTATGCATCTCCACTGTTTACTGCGTAATCCATTTCTTTTCACTCGTTTATTTTAAAACGTCTCCTGTTCATGTCTAACATTACCTTTATAAATACAGTAGAAATAATGACAAAAACATTGAAAAGTTCAAAAACATTATTACATAGTTGATAACGGCTTTGTAATATTGTACACTAAAGTAATATTTAAGTATCTAGCTGTATTTTAAAAACCGCAATGGTTCAAACATATATGAACTATAATTTGTTGAGATTCTGGAGATCTGATCCAAACGCTTCTTCAGAACACATTTCATCTGCATTTCAAAGTTTTTACTCCATATAATCATCTGCAGTGAAACGGATCAATCAGTTCGTTTCTGCACATCTCTCAGAACCAAAGAACAGGTTCTGCCCAGAATCTGAATTAAGGACGGTCCAGAACAGAACATCTGCAGTAAAGCAGAACCACATTTAACTGGGAAATTCCCAGTTCAACCACAGCTTTTGTTTCCCAGAGAGAAAAGCTCCACTGGACCCCCGGGTCGGTCTGTGTGGGAGAAACTGCGACCGGTTCCAGCTGTCAGCTGACTGCCTTTCAAAATGGCCGCTCCTGCATCAGCAGCAGGAAGCTGCTCTACATGTCGCCATGTTGGAAACTTCTCCTGACGTCAAACGCAGATCCGGTTCCCAACGTCGCGTCAGGCTGTAGGTTTGGAGCGGTACCACACCAGAACCGAACCTCCACTGAGGTCGGACGGTGTCCGAACCTGGACTTCATCCGAGCCAACAGCGCCTCCTGCTGACAGCTCAGTTCCTCTGCAGCCACCAGTTTAAAACTTAACTGGTTTGAACTGGTTTGAACCAGTCCCGCCTCATCATCTGGATCAGGGAGCTCAAACGTTTTGAGACCAAGATCTACTTTTTCTCTCACCAGCCGGCTGAGATCTACCTCATGACATGAAGACATAGAAATTATAAATGAAACCCTATTGACTCATTTTCTATGCAAATATCCATCAGTTTTATCAGAAATGATAAAGTGATAGAAATGATAATGCAGTTTCTTCCTCAGTGAGATTCTGACTCTGGGAGTAGGTTACTGGTTTCAGTAGGTTACTGGTTTCAACAGGTTACTGGTTTCAACAGGATACTCGTTACTGGTTTCAACAGGTTACTGGTTTCAATAGGTTACTGGTTTCAACAGGAAACTGGTTTCAGCAGGTTACTGGTTTCAGCAGGTTACTGGTTGTTACTGGTTTCAACAGGTTACTGGTTTCAGCAGGTTACTGGTTTCAGTAGGTTACTGGTTTCAGCAGGTTACTGGTTTCAATAGGTTACTGGTTTCAGCAGGTTACTGGTTTCAGCAGGTTACTGGTTTCAGCAGGTTACTGGTTTCAGTAGGTTACTGGTTTCAGCAGGTTACTGATTTCAGCAGGTTACTGGTTTCAGCAGGTTACTGGTTTCAGTAGGTTACTGGTTTCAGCAGGTTACTGGTTTCAACAGGTTACTGGTTTCAGTAGGTTACTGGTTTCAACAGGTTACTGGTTTCAGCAGGTTACTGGTTTCAGTAGGTTACTGGTTTCAGCAGGTTACTGGTTTCAACAGGTTACTGGTTTCAGTAGGTTACTGGTTTCAACAGGTTACTGGTTTCAGCAGGTTACTGGTTTCAACAGGTTACTGGTTTCAGCAGGTTACTGATTTCAACAGGTTACTGGTTTCAGTAGGTTACTGGTTTCAACAGGTTACTGGTTTCAGTAGGTTACTGGTTTCAACAGGTTACTGGTTTCAACAGGTTACTGGTTTCAGCAGGTTACTGGTTTCAGTAGGTTACTGGTTTCAGCAGGTTACTGGTTTCAGTAGGTTACTGGTTTCAGCAGGTTACTGGTTTCAGCAGGTTACTGGTTTCAGTAGGTTACTGGTTTCAGCAGGTTACTGGTTTCAGTAGGTTACTGGTTCCAGCAGGTTACTGGTTTCAACAGGTTACTGGTTTCAGCAGGTTACTGGTTTCAGTAGGTTACTGGTTTCAGTAGGTTACTGGTTTCAGTAGGTTACTGGTTTCAGTAGGTTACTGGTTTCAGCAGGTTACTGGTTTCAGTAGGTTACTGGTTTCAGCAGGTTACTGGTTTCAGCAGGTTACTGGTTTCAGTAGGTTACTGGTTTCAGCAGGTTACTGGTTTCAGTAGGTTACTGGTTCCAGCAGGTTACTGGTTTTAACAGGTTACTGGTTTCAGCAGGTTACTGGTTTCAGTAGGTTACTGGTTTCAGTAGGTTACTGGTTTCAGCAGGTTACTGGTTTCAGTAGGTTACTGGTTTCAGCAGGTTACTGGTTTCAATAGGTTACTGGTTTCAATAGGTTACTGGTTTCAGCAGGTTACTGGTTTCAGTAGGTTACTGGTTTCAGCAGGTTACTGGTTTCAACAGGTTACTGGTTTCAGTAGGTTACTGGTTTCAGCAGGTTACTGGTTTCTCAGTCAGAAGCTGGTTGTAAACCTGAGGCCAGCAGCTGTCAGTCAGTTCTGGTGGATCTGAAATTTGGTTTGATGACGTCAATATGAGAAACTGCAGACTGATGGGAGGAAGCAAAGAGCTCTGCAGAGGGAAAAGCAAATCTGCTGAATTTGGGATATAATTAATGTAATTTGACACAATTATTGTGGTAGAAGCCATTTGTTTGTTAAAACTTAATCAAATATATTTGTCCTATTTGATGTTGGTTGTGACGTTTACTGCAAACGAACGAGGTCATCAGTCCAAGTCTGTCGTTTATTGAATGTTCAGAAACTCCAGCGGCTGTGATGAACCACAGCGAAGGAAGACAAAGTAGAATAACCTGAACAGGTGATCAACTCAGAACCACTCGCACCTTTTTACTCTTTTTCTCTCTTTATTGTTAAGCACACCCGTTGCCGTGGCAACCGCCTGCGCCCCGCAAGCCGAGCAAAGATTATGTTAAAAATGTTCAGTCCGTTACGATATCAGGTTTCAGGCTTTATTATTATTTAATGAAGCTACAAACGTTTTGGATCTTAGTGAATATTTTGAAAAGTCTGTCAGAAGAGGAAGTGCTGCTCTCAGCGTCCTGCAGAGATCCACTCAAAACCTGATGCAGATCGACCGGCAGATCGCGATCGACGTATTGAGCACCCTTGATTTGGATAAACTCAGGCTAACATGGATGTTATCCAGGCTTTGGACCGGTTCTAAAGGCAGACTGGAGCTTTAAAACTGGGACATCACACCGTCTGCTTCCCTCAGGTCCACGGAACCTGCTGACCCGCCGGCAGCTGGACGGCTGAGCCCAAACACTTCATGGTTTATGTGCAGCTCACTGAGACGGGTCGCATGAAATGTTTATTGGAAACGATGAGACGACAGATTACAGGTAAAAAACATGATTTGTGTCCTGCTAATACCGGGTCGGTCCATGGGGAACCGGGCCGGTCCATGGGGAACCGGGCCGGTCCATGTGGAACCGGGCCGGTCCATGGGGAACCGGGCCGGTCCATGGGGAACCGGGCCGGTCCATGGGGAACCGGGCCGGTCCATGGGGAACCGGGTCGGTCCATGGGGAACCGGGCCGGTCCATGGGGAACCGGGCCGGTCCATGGGGAACCGGGCCGGTCCATGGGGAACCGGGCCGGTCTGTCATAGGAATGAATCAGATCCTTCATTTCTATGAAGGATCTGATTCAGTTCATTTCACTTCATGATAAAACTAAGAGTCACTTTGGCCTCTGGACTCAATGGTCTATTGCACTGAGATATTTACACAGCTGGAAGCTTCATCATCATCATCATCATCATCATCATCATCATTGTGAACCGCTAGTGGAACGTCCAGACTGTCTTTGGACAGGAACCAGAACCTGTCAGAAGCAGCTGATTGTCTGCGGCAGCTGGTTGGTCCTGACCAGAGTCCAAAGTTCAGACCACAAGAACTGACGGCGATCAGTTCAGATCAGCGGAACCAACAGTCAGAACTTGGGACCGGGGGTTCTGGAGTATAACCGTTTCACACTCAAAGATATAAACATGTAGTTGACTTTAAGTTCTTTTGGACCAGAGCCTGAGCCAAGGCCTCAACAGAACCACTTCCTGGCCCTCTGGCCAGTCTGTTACCATGAAGACCTGCTCATCTGGGCGCAGCAGGGTCCATGTAGTACACATTGACCAGGTGGCGGTTCAGGTGGCGCCGGTACTGCGTCTCCAGGGGGAACGTGCGGTCACAGAAGATGCACGTGTGGCTCTTGAGTTCGGTGGGTGTGGGAATCTCCTCGGTGGGCGTCTCCGGATCATTGGCCAGCTTTCCCGGAGCAGCACCTGTACCGTTGAGGCCAGAGTCGTCACTGCCTTCTGAGGCACTGTCGCTGATGTCACTTCCTCCCTCGTGGCTGCTGTGGATCCCCTCGTCGTCCTCGGCGTCAGCCGGTCTGCCACGCTGGCCAGGAAGGAGGAGGCGAGGCGGCACCGATGGCTTGATGAAGGTGGGATGGGAACCTTCCGTCTTCTCTGATGGTCTGCTGGGAGGACCATCTGGTTCTGGTTGGGTCAACCCATCTGTGGAGAAAGCCATTTCACCACAACCAGTTGGCTGAACAGAACCCTTCATAGCCTGTAAGGATGGACTGCTTTCAGAGATCGATCCATCTGGCTTTGGACCGACTGCTGAGGTCTTCCTGGTGGAGGTCCTGGTCTTTTTCTGCTTGGATGTTGCCTCTTTGATGGTCTTTTCAGTCGGACTTGGCTCGTTGGTACTATTCGAAGATGTTTTGGACAGCAGCTTCTTGGCAATGGGAGCTTTCAGGCACTTTTTCTTGGAGGGCTCTTGGGATAGATCCAGAATCTGTCCTGCTTTCCTTTTAGTGGGCTTTTCTTTGACCCACTGTCCTTTCTGGCTCTTCTCAGGACTGATGGGTTTCTGTGTCTCAGCTTGTTCTGGAGTCTTTAAGGTTTCAGACTTTCGATTTTTGCTGAGGCTTTTCTTGCTCTCCTTAAGGGAGCTCACATTCAAGTCTTTGTCTTTACATAACTGCTGGTCAGAACTCTTTGGATCAGACTGGTCTTTCTGGGAAGCAGGTCCCACCAGTAGTTTTTCCTGGGATGTAGGTTCTGGTAGATCCTGGGAAACTGGTTTTGCAGTGAGAATTTTCCTCACTCGTCTCTTCACTTTGACATCAGCACTCCCAGCAGCAGTCTGGACTTCTTTACCGTCCCTGTTCTCCACAGGATTCTCCTTGACCTTCTTTTGCCTGGTCGAGACTTTCTTTTCAGCTTCCTTTGCCTTCACAGGTCTCTCCTTCTCAGTCAAGGAGTTGCGTTTCCTTGCAGCCTTATCGGGAATCTCGCTTAGCAGTGGCGGTGTGATGCTGGGTCTGCTGCTACTCCTGATGGACAGATTGATGGGGCTCGAGTCGTCTTCCTCGTCCACATCGTCCTCTGTGGCGGGGGAGTCATCCAGCTTGGCTGCCTTTAACTCCGACTTGTCGTCTGCACCGTCCGGACCGGGTTTCTTCACTCGCAGCTTGACTTTGGACACATCCAGGTCCACGTTGCAGCCGGAGTGCCGGGACTTGATGTGGTACTGCAGGTTGCACTTCTTGGAAGCGGCGTACTTGCAGAGCGGGCAGAGGAACTGCCGCGGGTTCAGGTGCAGCTCCACATGCTTCTTAAAGTTACTGCGGTCGGCCGTCTTGTACTCGCAGTAGGGGCAGGACAGAGGCTTGGGACCATTGTGGACCTGCCGGGCGTGACGGGTCACCTCATGCTGATTGGCTGCCAGGTAGCTGCAGCTTTCACACTTGAAGGGACGTTCACCTGCACAGGGGAGGAGACGTTAGAGAGCCAAAGCTGGAGAGGAGTTCATGCAGCAGGTCAGGCTGGGTCTAACAGATCCGTAACACACTGGCTCTGTTTAGCAACCAGGTTCTGATCAGCCCAGACTGGACTCTGGTGCAGAACTTCCCCTGGACATCCTGCAGAGATCCATCACACTCATTTCCTGCTCTTTGATATTTCTAACCTACTGAGAACTGAAACAGGTTCATTCATGCAGGAGTTTATGTTCAGAGCACACACACACACACACACACACACACACACACACACACACACACACACACACACACACACACACACACACACACACACACACAGACAGACAGATCAGATTAGTTACCGTGTTAATCCATCAGGGCAGCGTCAGTGAGAACAAACAAATCAACAGTTAGTAGCAGAAAGACCATCATCATCTTGAACGGCTCCAGATTGGTTCCCTGCACTGGTCCAACTGGTGTTCCTAGTGGTTTCTGTTTCAGCTTCTCAGATCCAGTGCAACATCTAAAACCAGGGGGCTCTAACCAGCAACTTATTGCCAGAAGTCTGAAACTGGCTGATCATAAAGTCCTGGTACCAGTCAACCCATGGGCCAGTACTGGCAGGATCCCTGTTGTTTTAAGGAGGACCCAACATTTGGTTGTAACAACAGACTTTTCTTGAGAAACATTTATTTCAGAAGTGAATCCAATATCACACAGGTACTGCCATGTTGCTTAAGATCCTGGCAACACGTTAGCACCTACCAACAGTGTTTGGTTCTGCCGATGGCTTTACTCATGCTAAAGCTGTTAGCTCTAGTAGTTAATGTAGTAAATGTAGCTGGTTTCAGCAAAAGTCTTGCGTATAACTTTGAGGCAGTTTGTCTCCCTCCAAATGTTCGCCCCCCTCCCCTCCCGCCTCCAACAACTGAACCTCTTGTGTTTATAGAGCCGCGTCTGGCAGAACCTACTCAAATTATTGGCCCAGAATGCATTGCACAGGCGGAAAAATTGGGCCCTCAGTAGGTGAAAAATATAGTAAAAATATACAATTTGTTCGTATCACAAACTTCTTTTGGGTAAATAGAACAATTGCACCATAATTAAACAAACTATGGACGGAGTGAGGAGTTCTGGGCCTGTTACCTGGAGAGAAGGTGGAGCTAAATGTCTTCAACTGAACGACACAACAACCAGAAGAGCTACTTGGTAAAAGTGAAACATTACAACAGTGGTTCTTCAGCAGAGCCTCTGCTGGACGTAAAGACGCTATTTAAACATGTCGAGCAAAAGCAGGAAGTGGTCGGACGAATATGTACAACATGGATGGATGTGTATCAGGGAACGCGATGGGAGTCAGAGCCCCATCTGCATGATGAGCAACTCCAAGTTGAGCAACTCCAAGTTGAGCAACTCCAGTCTCCACCGGCAACACTGAGGAAACACTTCTTGAAGCTGCGTGGAGACGGGAAAGTAAAAAAGTATTTTGTGGATTCAAAACCACAAAAAACAAAAACAAGTTGGCTTCAAAGTTTTAAAAATTAAAATGTCCAATTCTTTAAAAACTCCAAATATATTTTTAATCAGTAAAAAAGCAAAAAAGGATTTCTGGGGCCGAAATATTTTTTATGTTGGTTTTGTTCTTTGAGCAAGGTGATGTTCATGCACGGCTCATTTTGTGCACCAAAAAGCAAATATCTATGTCCTGAACTTGGCAAATAATCCTATTTTATTGATCTCTAAAGAAGGGTTCAGAGAATGAAAGTCAAAGGTTAAGAACCTCTGGGTTAGAAGAAGCAGCTGAGGGTCAACTCCACTCAAACAGGACTGACTCAGGAGCCAATCAGCACCTGTCCCCTTCTGTCCCAAACTCACCTGAGTGAGTCCTCATATGGCGGGTCAGGTGAGTCTTCTGGGAGCTCGAGTAGTCGCAGTAAAGACACTGGAATGGACGCACACCTGTTCACCAGAGACACAGCCTTCACATGACCCACCTGAGACAGGGACTAGATCAGAACAGACCAGGGACTGGACGGTACCTGTGTGGGTCCGAATGTGCTGGATGTAGTTGCTCTTGCGGTCGGAGAAGTAGGAACACTGGCTGCAGGTGTGCAATTTGCTGGGGAAGTGATTCCTCAGGTGCTTCCTCCAGTGGTACTGACTGACCGTGGTGTAGGCGCACAGAGTGCACTTAAACACCCTGCAGGCACACAGGTACACGCTCAGGTGACTCAGACAAACAGCCACAGGTGTTACCTTCAGAGCATGTTTGGTCTTCCTACCTGTGGTCGTCACCCTCCTTGCTGTGGTGCTTCAGGTGAGCGATGTAGTGGTCGTAGCGGTTGGTGTTGTAGCCGCAGCGCTCGCACCTGATCAGCCCTTTGGCATCTACGCCGGTGGCCACGTCCTCCCCGCCAGGCTCCGCCTCCCCGCCAGGCTCCGCCTCCCTGCCTGCCGAAGCCTCCCGTGACTCCGCCTCCTTGGCTTTGCTCTTGCTCCGCCCCTCCACCTGGTGCACCACCATCATCTTGTTGATGCTGTGTGTGCTCAGGTGCTCTACGAACTCCTGCTCGTTCTGGCCCTGGAAGTGGCACGGCTTGCAGCAGAACGGCTTCTTCTTCTGGGCACTGTCCGTCAGCCCTTTGACTCCAGGTTGGGGTGAAATGGTGGAAAGGCGGGGCTTAGTGGATGGGGGCTGTTTCTTAGAGGGGTGGTTCTCCTCATCCTCTCTGCTGCCGCCAATGGCGACGGTCTGGGCGGCCGGGTTCGGGGACTCTGGGTACTCCACGATGCACACCTCGCGGTGGTTGTGGTTGTCGTAGCTGTACCTGCACACAAACCAGGTGAGTTAGAGACAAGTAATGTGCTAGGAGCAGGAAGTGACCCTCACCGACTGCTGACCTGATGACGCCCTCGTCTTCACTGTCAGAGTAGCCGCATCCCACCGTTTTCAGCTCCATCATCTCCTTCTCGTCAGCCGTGCTGCCGCCGTCGCCGCCCTCCGCCGCCGTCACCGCCGCCACGTTAGCCAGCATCACCAGCTGAGGGGCGGGCGGCGTGTTCCGGGGCAGGTCGCTGAGGCCCGGCCCGTCCTCCGCCAGAGAGACGCCCACAGGAAACGTCCCAGCTGAGAACATGGTCTGAGTCGCCATCACGACCAGTCGGTGATGGTGGAGCGACAGAACTCTACGGTTCTGAAGGCTCACCGGGTTTCAGCGCCAAGGCTGGTGAGACAGAAACATTCAGAGCTTCTGTCACAACCAGGAGAGCTGATGATGACGTGACGGTCAAACGCAGCTCCACAACAAACTGTCCCACAAATTACTGAGATAAATGATCTCAAAATTGTCATTTTGAGATCATTTCCAACTAATATGCAAGTTTTTCCTCACAAAGGTCAATAAAGCTGTAATTTCTAAAGAGCTTTTACAGCTGCGGTATATAACTACTACAAAATTTTTTTATGCATTTGTGGATAAAAAAAAGTATAATATGAGACAGTCTGTAAAAAAAGCTTCTCCCAGTACGACCGAGACACAAGCAGTCAGAGCCAGGGGGCAGGTCTTAGCGCTGTCAATCACGCCTGTATGCGCCCCACTCATCTCTTCCCTTGCTCTCTGCGAATACTGAGCCTAGTTAGCTTACCCTCTTATGATGGCAGCAGCAGCAAGTACATGAGGTTGACTGGCAGCACTAAGCCCCTCCTTCTGGCTCTGATTGGTGGTTTTGGTGCATATCTTCAGGCACACCACCTCAGATGATCTGTCTCATAACAAACTGTAACAACACGGTCATAATTATACCTAAAAATAATTTTTTTACATAAAAATTACATACTGCAGCCTTAACACGGCAACTGGAAGATGTTTTAAACATCCAAAAGATGTTTAAAATTATAAATAAAGTTGAAATAAATCCTGCAAACAATCAAAAACATTGAATAAAATAGATTATGAAGTTTCTCTAAACAAAAAATATTATTTATTGGTTTCAGACCGGAAAAAACCGCAAAGCTGCTAGTTATTAAAAAGTGAACGCAGTGACGTCCATCGGTGACGTCATCTGAGGCCGTCGGCCATTTTGGAGCAGGACCACAGTCAGCGCCTCAGAAAACTTCAGGGGGGAAAAGTTCTGTTTAATCCGCAAAAAGTTCTGGTACAACGAGCTAAAGTTCGGACCTGCAAAATCACATCTGCCATAATTTATTTTAATCTTACAAACATCAAAACCCAAACAAAACAGAACTTTTCATCCGGTTCTGAAGTCGGTGTCTGATTCCCAGCTGTAGTAAAGGGCTGTTCCACTGTTTTTAGAGAACTTGGACCACACAGAATAAGTTCTGATTGATATTCAGGAACGGTTCTGATCCGGACAGGGTGATCGGAGTTCCTACCATGACCTTTAACCTTCATTTTGTACAAATAAAGAACATAAGCAGGTGACATCAGCTCCTCTTGGGTTGAACTCCTCAGGTTTCTGAAGTTCTGGAAACTGGGGACCCGGACAGGAATGAAAGGTTCCGGAGGTTTTATATTTGCATATTTTAAACAATTTGTCAAAAAAGCTATTTATTTTTATTCGATTTCGCCTTTCTAACCAAATGCGATCGGAACCAGGTTTAAATCCCCACCAGGCCAACCGGACTGGATCAGAACACAAACTTTAAAGGTTCTGCACGCAATGATCCGGAAAAACTCGGATTTTTCTGGAACTAAAAAGCTTTTTCTTTCGGAGCCACATTGTGGACCTGGTTCTGATTTAAGGCGGTGCTACGATTCACACGCTAACTTCTGGTCACACACTTTCCCTGAGTTCGGGACCCAGAACCGAACTTCCCCCGGGTTTTGATCTAAGTGTTGTGGAGTTGCGGTCCGAGTGTGGTTCCGAGGCTCGGAGCCTGACCCGGACCTGGCCCGGACCTGGCCCGGGACGGAGTGTTAGCCATGGTCCTGATCAGCCCCCGGACAGCGCCTCTGTGCTCCACCTCACCGCCTCCATTTTCCCCGAACTGCTCTAACTTTCTCCGGCTGTAAACCCGCACAGCCACGGAACCGAACCGCTCCCGGCCCCGCAAGCCCTCCGACACATTCCCTGCTCCTCACCTCCGAACTTCCAGAGACTTTCCTGGAGACTTTACTGTTCTGGGAAGGTTTTCCTTCGACGGACAGCGCTTTTAGAAAAATAGGCAGAAGTTTCCGCACATTCCTCTACAGTGACGTAGGGTCCTGACGTCAACGCGCAGCTCCGCAGGTTTGTAGTTTTCTGTGAAAATGTGCGAGTTTCAGAACAAGATGGAGCAAGAACCTCAACGCAGAGGTTCTGGTTCTGGTTCTATTCAGGTTAAAGAGCTCAAAGCCGTGAATATGATTAAACCTGACCTGGAAAAGGTTTTGGATGGGTTCTGGTTCAGGTTCAGACCAGGTCTGGAACAATTTTACTACAATCTCTTTTTATTTATTAAGCGGATGAAAAACTTCAGAACCAGTGAGGGAAAAACTGAGTCCAACTCCTGATCAAATTGCCAGTAGAAGCTCCTTCACTTTCTGTCTGAGACCATCACTGGGGGTTCTGCTCATTCATCTGAAAACCTCATCAGGACTTTGACTAGGCCATTCTAATGTAGATTTGTTGCTGGGTTCAGATGATGGTTCTCATGATGACCTAGATTGGCCCGAGCTTCAGCTGATGGAAAGATGAAGACTTTGAATATCAGAGGAGATCCTGGTTCACGTCAAGCCCATATCACCATCCCTCCACCACCGTGCTTGGAAGCTGTATGGAATGCCTTTGACCTTCTAAGGGAGAACAGTCTCTCTAGAGCCTCATAGCTCCTGGATCACTGCTGATCCTCCCATCCTGATGAGGACCAGAGTCCTCCAGAGTCGAGACCATGAGAAACTGGTTCTGAACTGGACCCGGCAGAACCAGAAGGTGGTACTTTCTTCGTTATTACCTGAATCTGTCTTCAGCGGATGTTAGTGGTGAGCTATTGTAAAGCACTTTATATTGCAGGTACTTCCGGCAGGTGATCTCCAGGAAGTGAGCTGCTGACGTCATGCCAGTCCTGCATGACATCATCATGCAGCACTGACGTACTTCTGCCAGAACTATCTGACCTGATCATTTCTTCTTGCTGATAATCACTGATAGTTAATAACTCTATGAATGCACGTTGTATGAATCCATAGAAAGGGCCACGCCCCTTCCGGAGCTGTCTTAGCGCAGACTCTCACCGGAAGTGGCTTCTGATTCTTTTCAGAATAAGATTATTCAGTTCAAATTAATCCCAACGCTTTTTCTAAATGCTGATGGCTGAAAGGATCTCCTGCAGAGGCCTATATTGCAGCCAAACTGGAAACGCTTCTGACTGAAGACACAAATGAAAAGGATGATCAGACTAAACATTGCGTGTTTTTTTTTTGTTCATCTTTTGTATTTAGAACAACAGAAGATGTAAACTTTGACCCAGTTTCATCTTTGGTTTTAATTTAGCCCACTTTACCTTATTATTTATTGTGATTTATTTATGGTGGATACAGAAAGACAACCTTGGACTTTTATTGGATCTTTTTATAACTTTTGATTAAAGTTTTTACAGCGACTGTTGATCTGTTTTACGTTTGACTTCCTAAGGTCCAATTTTTATTTTGAAAAGCAGACCGGAAGTGTGAAGCATGATTTCGTCATCCGGATCCTTGTATTCGTCACACAGAGATCTGTAAAGTTCATGTGTCCGCTCTCAGCGTTTTGGACGGTACCGTTTCTGGGTCGCTCAGATTGTTGGTGTCCCTGAGGTTTTGGACGGAACTTTGGACCGTTCCTGGCGGTTTCCGAACCGCTTTCCCGACCTCTGGACAAGAATAGCAGGAAGCTAGCAGCTAGCTGGGCTCCATCGACTTTCTGCTCGAGTTCTGGTTCTGGTTCTGGTTCTGGGTTCTTCCTGGGTTTCTGTCCGAACTCTGCTGGAAAACCTGGAGTTGTGTCTCAGATGGAGGAAGATGGAATGTGAGAGCAGATAGCGGCGAAGCAGAACCCTTTCTGGACCCGGAACCGAGCCGTCAAGATGGCCACAGATTTCAGCCTGATCCACCGAACCTGCAAGCTGGTGGTTCTGCTCTGCTTCCTCCACATCTCCGTCACCGTTTTCTTCTACGTCCGAACCCTGGACATCCGGTTCTCCTTCGTCCAGAACCAGCAGTCCCACTCCAATCTGACCCGGCTCAGACACGGCTTGGTCCCGGCCAGCGGATCCGGAGCCGAACCGAAAGAGACCGCGACCCGGAGGGGGCAGGAGGTGGAGCGGCAGCCGGCCGAACCGGGTCAGAACACGACAGAGGAACCGGGGAAACCGCTGGAGAAATGTCCAGAAACATCTCCTCTGCTGGGTGAGTCCGGTTCGGCCAGGGTTTAGAAGCCCATCTGGACCAGAACAGCCTGGATAGAATCAGATGGTTCCGGTCCACATGGTTTGGTACCAAAAGTTTGATATTGCTGTCAGGATGAGAAATGATCCAACAAGTCCAAGAACCAGAACCGAATGTTCTGAGATCCATCAGAACTAGCTCTGGTTCTGGTTCGGGGCGGGTCGTGGATCCATCCATGTGTATCAATAACATCCACTTGGATGATGTCATATGATCAATAACTGATCGATAATCATCTGAGGAGCCTCAGAGAGCCGGCTCCAGGTTCTAAACCCAAAGCAGGTTCTGGTTCTGTGTGGGAGTCCAGGTGGAAGTGGACTCACCTGTTCTACCTGCTCTGTGTGTCAGGAAGTCACTGGCAGTCAGCAGAGGTCACGTGACCTCCAGGAGAAACTCCCAGGTGAGCTGGAGGCATCCGTCTCCTAGACAACGCAGCGGCTCAGCTGATTGGTCCAGATCTGCCAGGTTCCGGTAAAGAACCTGAAGAGGCTGATGATGTCATAGCTTCCTGGACCTGAAGTTCTGCTGAAGCTTCAGTCACATGGGCTGGGTTGCCATGGAAACCAGGAGAAAGCTGTCGGCTAGAGAGGGTTAGCCTAAGCTAACGCTTATATAATGCAACAAAATGGGAGATGGAGGCCAAAGTGTTTGGTTTATCTATGAGTCATTGGATCATTTAATCAGTTAATAATCTTCCAGCACATTATTAAGAACTCTGCTCCGCGGCAGGCGGCAAACCTTTGGTACCAGAGCCGGTTCTGCTGGTCCGTTTGGGACGGAAACATCTGAGAACATGTTGGTCATTAATCATCATCAGTTCTGTAGAACCGAGCCGAAGATGGAGAACAACAAGTAGGCCGGCTCTGATTGGTCCATGTCAGCGTGGAATCAGTGTTCCCTTCACAGTCTCAGACAGCGTGGGAACTTTGAGTTTTTTCTGGATGTAAATGTGTCTGAAAAGTCACAGCTTCAGTTTCAGCTCTGAGTTAAATCCAGAACCTAAACGTATCTGCCGGGTTCTGCTGTAATCTCAGCTGCAGCTTCCAGCTGCGTCACCTCCCAGCAGGGGGTCAGAGGTCGAGCAGCTGCAGTGTGTTGATGCTGTGTCTCCGCCCGCAGTGGGCCCCCTCCGGGTGGAGTTCAACATCCCAGTGAGTCTGGAGCAGATCAAGAGGGACAACCCCAACATCCTTCCTGGCGGCCGGTTCCGACCCAAGGACTGCGTGGCGCTGCAGAAGGTTGCTGTCATCATCCCGTTCCGCAAGCGAGATGAACACCTCAAGTTCTGGCTCTACTACCTTCACCCAGTTCTGCAGAGGCAGCAGCTGGACTACGGAGTCTACGTCATCAACCAGGTGGGTCCAACAGAACCACAGAGATCCAAACAGAACCTCTGACTGGATTAGGTCAGGATTAAACCTGGATTTACCTGCAGAGAGGTGAAAATATATCAGCCTGATAAAATCGGTCAGTGTGGGACCTCACCTGGTCCAGGTGTTTTCAGAGGAGCCTGCACACAGCAGGGGAGGGGAGGGGCGGGGCCTGTATCCAGGTAACAGTAACATCACCTGCCTGGAGCGTTCAGGGAGCTGAATGCTCTGAGCTGCATGTTTTCCTACTGGCCTGTGGGCGGGGCTTGTCCACAGGTGAGCTGAGTGGAGCTCAGGTGAGCTCAGGACTCTGCATGCATGTGTTCACTCAGACTGAAGCAGAAATGAAACAGTAACCATGGTAACCAGGTGTTCCCTCTGCCGCTGCTTTGACTCACTGTGTTCTTCTTCTGCTGCTTCCTCTCCTTCATCCTCCTGTTTTAGCTCCTCCCCCTTCACCTGCCCCTCCCCTCTCTTTGCATGTCAGGCCTTTCTGACCAATGGCTGTGGTAAATGTGGAGCTGCTGAGACCCGCCTCTTCTTGGGCCAACAGCAGCAGGTGTTGCTAAGTGGTCGCTACGGTAATTCAGCTTTTTTCTTCTTCTCTGGTTTCTGTCTGCTGCCTGTTTCTGTTTCTGCCACCTGAACTCACCTGACAGGTAAACAACGACCTGAGCAGGTTCAGGTTTGATGGGTTACCTGTCCAGGTGAGACAGTGGGAGCTTTGTACTAACTCTTTTTCATATGACATCACAGGAAGTAGCTTTTTAAACATTTTAGCTCAGTTCAGTCTGAAGACTTGTTGCTGCATGACACAGCTGAGGGGTTGCCACAGTAACCCTGTTAAGTGACGGGATCAGAAATCATCAGTCGTTCAACAAGCAGAACCGGGTCAAAACCTGGGCCGCCACCAGGAACATGAAAACAGCAGAACCAGAACCAATTTCCCTTCTTTCATCCAAACCAGCTGGACGAAAACAAGACACACCCCACAGGGACACGCCCCCACATACACGCCCCCACACGGACACCCCCACAGGGACACGCCCCCACATACACGCCCCCACACGGACACACCCCCACAGGGACACGCCTCTCACACGGACACGCCCCCACACGGACACGCCCCCACAGGGACACGCCCCCCCACGGACACGCCCCCCACATGGACACGCCCCCACACGGACACGCCCCCCACACATGCACACTGGTTAAACAGAAATAAATCATTCAGGCAGAGATGTTGACACATCACTACAAGCATCACATGTGTGGTGGAGTGGAACCGTTTGGGGGCGGGGCCTCTGTGGGACTTTTTTCTGAATGCATCACAAAAAACTAATTTAACTTTAATTTTAAAAAACAGACACCTCTGGATCTCAAACACTTGAAGGAAACAAATGTGGAAACAGAGTTAAAGTCTTTCTCGGTCA